CATATTTTTGTATTTCTCCGCTTTTGTTACCTACCTTGTTCTTTGTAAGAAAAATGTTTGCAACTTCAAAAATAGGTATAAACCAATTTCGCATGAAAATTCGTAAACCAGAAGTTCGTTAATGGTGAGACAGGTGCGCTGTCTATACATAAGCGCAAAGGACATCAAGCCCAGTAATTAGAAATTTTTCACTTAAAAATTTCCTCGATTCGGTCTGCTTTAAAATATACAAGATTCGAACTAATTTTTGGAGGAGGATATTTCCCATACAACAAACAGAATGAAGGCGACAGACTCGCAATATAATGGCTTATCGGCGTAATTCATAACGGAACAGCCGATCAATAAATTGCACAATGTTAAGAAAAAACTTTTAATCAACGAAACATCACTCAACAAACTTAACGCCGATCACGGAAACAAAACAAAGACTTCCATTAAAACAGGAAATCGAAGGAACGTAGCTGAAAACTAATAAATAATTTTGAACTACCAGTATAAAGTAACGAGGTAGTATCTTATTCAATATTTTCAAAAACTGTAAACTTGTCCCGGGCAGAAAACAGCTTTTTTTTGGGGGTACTTGTGACATATGGACCAAAATTCAGGCATGACCGCTTTAAGTTTTTCTGCATGCCCTGCTTGGATCGGGTGGAGGGTGAAGTTCTAGCTACATTGACTTCTTTTACAATTACTTCTTCCTGAAAAACGGAATTTTTGCCATAATTTTACAACAGACTAGAAGAAAAATAATTTACAAACTTCATACATTTAAAATGAGACAACGGCAGAAACTATTAAAACATCCAGCAGCGTTGTACATAACGAGTTATTGAAATAAGGCACTGATCAACTCTAACCAAACCCAGCTGTATCACGATTCATATTTTTTTGAAAAATAGAACTCTCGCCGACTTAGATGATTACAAAAGTCATGTACGAATAAAGCTGTAGCATTAGCACTAGAAAATGCTTCTAGTAGTTAAAATACGAATAAATATATAATCAGTACCTTAAGATTACCTCTTTTCCTGCGAGGTGACTGACTAGGAAACGTTGATGATGAAGGATGAATCTCATTCTTCAAATTCTTTTTCGACTTCTCCTAAATAGATAGAAATGCAACATTTAATGTCCTGGTTGAAACGTAAATGTATTGGGCACAATCAACAAAACAACATAAACGGCAATAAATAGCTTACAGGAAAGTACATCACATCATCCGCATACATCGCAGCAGCTGCTTTCTTAAATACAACTGACTATATAACATAAAGATTGCTTCAGCAAAGAAAAAAATATAAAATTCAAGCTATTCTTTGCATATGCCACTCGTCAGTTTCTGTCAATTCCAAATTATTAGTACGAGTTAATGGGTTTGGTCCCTAGTCTGATATGTCATTGCATTATATTTGCAACTGGATATGCAAGGCTTTCATTTCATACGAATTCGCATTAGTCCTTCTCGTGGATAGTTAATTCAAGCTTTTTTGGATATCGCTTCACCAAGTTAGCGAAGGTATTGCCATAAAGTTCTTTGTTCTTCTGAGTATTCTCTACCGGTTTTAACATTATCATGGCGATTCCCTTCACTGTTAATTGTCGGTACTTCTTCAGTTGCATTGTCCGTCTATGCAACCTTCAGCATTTTGGTGTTCAATGACAAAATAAGTCCCACCTTAAGGATGCATTCTCTAATCCAACCATATTTCACATACAATGAATTCTTCTTTTTTGTTCTATGAAAGGTGAATATCTCTCCATATTGGCCCTCAGATATATTATCCCTTACCTTTCCAAGACCGTTCTTGTCTGTCTGTCCAATTCTAGCCTTTGCTTTTGTGTCCACTAAAATTGTGCTGATTCGTCACCACACTTCAGGGTTCAGCGGATTCTGTTTAGGCATTCACTCTTGATATATTCTTCTATTTTCATGAGTCATCGTCATAATCACCAGCGTCAGCTTTCTTCGATTCACTACTGAATGAAAGCTTCGCCAAGATTTCAATAGGCTTTCGGTTTCTGCCATTTACTCATCTACCTTGATCCAGCGAATTTCTTCAGCTCATTCTACCATCGATCCGAGGTCTTACTACGGGCCCTTTATACTCTCCTAGAACCCAATCTATTGCCTCTCTTTTCCGTTGCTTCTTCTTGCAACGTGACCTGCCCACTGTCACTTTAACTTTTCCACTCGGACAAAGATATTACAGACTATTGTTTATACTCTTACTCATTCAGTCAGTGAAATTTACTAAAGTGAATTCTAAGTTGCCAAAACTCTGGATATAACAAACAAGTACTAAATCAGCAGTGAAAGTCAATTCATGTCGAGCTGACCAGACACTGGTCCAAAATGACACGTCCTATTTCCTGAGTTACATCAGACGTCGCACAAGAAACAGAAATCCAGTCTGGCAGGTACAAGAGTGTACACCGACCTTGTACTTAGCCGCTTCGAAAGACACAGTGGGAGAATTGGTTTGGTTAGAATAGAACTGACCAGAACATCTGTTGTTTCGATCAAGTATCTGGTTAAGATTGAACCAAAATCGTCAGCGCTGGAGTTACAGAGTCAGGTAAGTAGTCTTGACAGGCTCTGGATAGAAGTCAGCAGCTTTCTCCGGAAACTGCTCAAGTAGACCAGTGCAGCGTAGAGGAAGAACAGTGGAATGCAGGATTTGGTTAAGTCTTTCAACAATTTTGAATCAAAACACAACCTCCTCAATGTACGCAACACCGAAACCAAGCACTACTCTTTAGCAGTCACTGCATTCTTCTTCTGTTCCCAGCTAAGGATCTCATTCACAATCAACCTCAGGTATTTTACTGTGGAGTTATTTTTCAAACAAGTTATTGCGGACTGTGGAGTAGGGGCGCCGCATATTCGCTTTGTTCAATTGAAATTACAGCCCACAGAGCCCTTCATCGCGGTCTCTGGAAACGGCGTTGACAACTGCGCTTAATGCATCCGGAATACTGCGCTGCCACACGAATCTGAGAACTGCCACAGATCGACGTCTGGCAACAATTTAAAATGAACTGACGGCGAAATGATTCTTTCCAGATATTTAAACGCAAATGGATGCACTGTAGTGAGTCACCAGTCATTTGCTACAGACGGCCTAAGAGATTGTGGATAGTAAGTACTAGCACCATAAATCCGGCAGCACTGTGCCTTCTGCTAGGCAGCGGCTGTACAGTCTGGCAAAGGCTTCAGAAAATGAGTCAGTACAAAGCTTAAATGCCATTGAGTTTCAGCTGTCTGATCCTGCAGTCGTAGTTTCTTGAACTGTTAGCTGTTAGCTGAAGCGGTGTACGACTACGTACTGATTTCACGGTTCAAAAGGACTGCTTTAGAAATGTTGTTAAACGGATTAGTGGCTACTTCCTCACTTTCGAAACGTATTAGTTGTTCAGCGTCTCAGTATCTGTTGTTTCAGCTACTGATTGAAAAGTCGATAAATATCAGCCCATTTTATCCTTTGCCCTAGTAAAATCAAGGTGGGAACTGAGTGATAGTGACTGGAAAAGCAATTTTGGATGCTAGTTGCCTCTGCAGGCATTCAAACGGGACCGTGCTTTCGGCTCTATACATATTCTTCTACAGCACCTTCTGCTCGGCAGCTAACGTTCATGATGAAAATTAATTTCTGGAGCCAACAAGTATTTAAAGAAAA